TCCACGCTGCTTTCTTGCTGCCTTGAGCCTGAGTCAGTGCGAAGCCTGCCAAGGGTTATGCAGGTACCCAGCAGGAACGGCGATCGAGCAAACACTGTGCAGGTCCCTCTTCTGCACACACGACTTGCAGGCTTTGCATGTGCCGCATGTTCAGGGCCCTTCGCATGGGCAGCATTGACCTGGATGGACCAGTGGCCTGACTGTATGAAACAGCATCCTATGTCCCTAATGTCTGCTGACTTATCCAAAGGCCATCCCACACAGAGAGGTTTTGCCATGCATTTGAAAGGTTCTCAGACCTGGAACGCCATAATTGAGGGCATAATCAACATAAAAGCATCAGAAGATCCTTGCCGGGTCAGACCAAATGTCAATTTAGTCCACCATCTTATTTTCCATTCTAACTACTGCATGCACGAGGATGCAATTTTACAGAGTAAAGCAAGAAAACAATTCCCAAGAGGAAAAAACTTTCTTCAGAAAGTTGAAGTCTTACCCAAACAAGAGAATGAAAAGGAACACAAACCTGGACTCAGGAGCTCTGGGTTCTAACTGGGTGAATCATGGAGGTAACTGGGTGACTTTGGGCCAATCACAAACTCTCAGCCCAACCAACCTCACAAGGCTGTTGTTGTGAGGATAAGGCTGAGAACAGGAGGAGACTGATGTAAGCTACCTTGAGTTCCTTGAAAGGAAAAATGGTGGGATATACATATAATATAATTTAAAACAAATGATGGTTTTCAGGAGCATATTGCTGGAAACATTAGAACCAACAATAAAACAGTCCTTAAATATAGCCAAAGCAGGAAACCAGTTAGGGAGGCAGTTGGATCTCTGGCTGACAAGGCAGTTAAAGGAGAACTAAAGGAGGATCAGGAGACTACAGGGTAGTTAAAAGAGATGTAGAAGCAGATACCTCCGTCAGAGCTGATGCCTGCAAGTGGGAAGTCTGAGGAAATGAGCAGTGACAAAACATGAATTTATAGGCCTTGCTGACAGATTGAAAACATACACATCACAAGGTATAAACTGTATATCTCCAAGAGGTTTTAAAGAATTTACATGAGAACAGCAACAATATGTAGCACAGAAACATAGAAACAGAGCAAGTCAGAAGGGTCTGGGCCATCTAGCCTGACCCCCGGCACCAGCCAGCTCTGCTCATGACACGCCTACCAGGTGCATGTCTAGCCTATCCTTGAACACCTTCACCGATGGGGCCTCAGCCACCTTCCAGGGAAGCCCATTCCATACCCTCGGGGCCCTGACTGTCAGGAAGTACTTCCTGTCATCCAAATTGAGCCCTGGTTCCCTGAGCTTGGCTCTGTTGGATCACATCCTGCCCTCCTCTGCAGGGGAGAACAGGTATCTACCCACCTCCGTGTGACACCCCCTCATGCACCTATATGTCTGCAACAGATCCTCTCACCGTCTCCTCTTCTCCAGGCTGAAAAGACCCAGTTCCCTCAGTCTTGCCTCATTTAGCTTTCCCTGCAATCTGTCCACTATCCTTGTGGCCCTACAATGTACTTACTCTAACCTGGCTATATCCTTCCTGTAATGTGCAGCCCAGTACTTAACACAATACTCCAGTTGTGGGCGCACCAGAGTCGTGTGGAGTGGTAGTAATACCTCTCTCAATCTAGAAGCCACACTTCTGGCTATGCAACCAAGGGTGGTGTTTGCCCTCTTGACCACCGCATCACACTGCTGACTCATGTTTAGCCTGCAGTCAACCAGCACCCCGAGGTCCCTTTCACAAGTGCTGCTCCCCAGCCACTTGTCCCCTAACCTGTAATTATCACACCCATTCCTATGCCCCAAGTGCAAGACCTTGCACTTACCCACATTGAATGCAAAACCTTGCACTTATCCTGTTGTCTCCAGTCCACTTCCATAGTATGTCCAGAGCCTTCTGGATCTGGATTACCTGCTCCTCAGTTGTGGCCACTGCCCCCATTTTAGTATCATCTGCGAATTTGATCATTTGCTCCATGTCCATTTCCTGTGGAGGTCCCTCTTCCTTCTAATCCCTCTTATTACCTCACTTTACATGCATGGTGGCACTCTCTTGCGCCTCCCCACATTGCTAATCGGCAGTATCATTAAGGCTTGTGGCTCCAATACCTCCCTTTTTAGGGCCATCCACCCCTCCTGAACTCCCTTGCCTTCCAGTACCCTCTCCCAGGAGCCTTCCCCCAGCCTGGCCTTCAAGTGACTGAAGCTGGCCTTCGAGAGGTCCCAACTCCTAGTGCTTGACCTACCACTCATCCCCACTCCCCTGATCTCAAAGCATAGGATGGAGTGGTCACTCACATGCAGAGCTCCCCTAATCTGCACATCACCCACCGGATCCTCCCTGTTGGTCAGAAGCAAGTCTAGGATGTTTCACCCCTTCATTGCCTCTCAGACCCCTGGGGTTTTTCACTCCATAGCTTCTAGGAACTGATGGGACCCAGCCGCTGCCACACAGTGCATCTCCCAACTAATATCAGGGACGTTGAAGTCTCTGCCCACAGCCTCGAAGTCCCGAGTGATCCCACTCCTCCCCTGCCTGGCTGTGTCGTTTGTCCCCAGGTGGATCATCAGAAGCGACTGAAGACCCACCAAGGGAAGGAGATGCCCCAGTCTTTCCATCACATGCCGGATGCATGTGCCTGGCAGACAGCAGGTCGCCCTCACTCCTCGATCCGGCCAGTGCACTGCCACCTCAGTACCCCTTAGTAAGAAGTCCCCAGTGCCATGACCTGCCTTCCTCCCACTTGTCTGGTGGAGATCGGGGGCCCTACTTCAGCCCCCGCATCTCCGAAAGCAGTCCTCTGCCTGTGACTGACATCAGACTGAGCTTTCTGAGCAGGCTGGTCCCCTGGGGTACCCGTGGCCCTGGTATGCTCCAGAGAAGAAAACATATTTCTCAGCTGCAACTCAGCACCTGGGGATGGAGGGCGTGGTGCCAGCCTCTGCCTCCTGAGAGAGACATGCCTCCATGTCCCCCCAGCTGATTCCCCAGTGGCCCCTTCCTCTTTGTCCAGGAATTCTTCCCCCTCTCTCGCAGAGGGAGGTGATGGAGTCCTCTGGACCCTTCACCTTTTCCTCAAGGAGGGGCACCAACTTGAGCACCAGCTTGCACTTAATGCAACCGTATCCTGGCTTTTCCAGTGGGAGGAAGATCAACTTGCACAGGAGCTGCAGGCTGCCATCACAACCATCCTGCCATGGCTGTCTCTAGGCCTGGCGTAGGCCACCCCTCCGAGTTTTGTTTCTACTTGCCTTCTGCACCCTTGTCTTGCCTACCCTTGCTTGAGGCTGAGCACCACGGTCCCTCGGTGAAGACAAAGTCCCTGGAGAAAAGAGTCCCCAGGCAACCAGGGATGCAACCAAGGATGACACCCTGGCTGCATCACGTCTTGCCCATTGGTGCTGCCAGTGGCTGAGCACAGCTTTACAAGCCTCAGAGGCCGCTGGCCCTGCCCCCTCTGCTTCCTCCTGGGTCTCTCTAGCCCGCCTGTCCACTGCTCTGTCCAAGCTCCTACCTTGCCTTCACAAATTCCCTGACCACTCTCTCTGCGCTCCCCCAGCCTCTGCTGCTATGGCTGCTGCTGCCGCCACCACCCAGATCCGAAAAAAAAGAGGACTTTGCTGATGAACGTTTGATGAGAGAGACAGTCACAAGCTTCTTGATAATGCAAGTGGACCGTGCAGGATCTAGAGTTAGCCATGCTTAGAGTGGACACATTGAAAGCTGTGAGACTTGAGCAGCATGGCCCGCATGTCCTCTTGATTTTAAGTATAACTGACTCTGAAGCCAATACACAATGTCTGCCAGTCTATCTGGCAGCACCTTAAGAACCTACTGTCTGTTTTCTAAATTATTGTCATGCCCCTCCTCCTTTTTCTTTTAATTCGCCTGAGTTGTGGCGTTCAGAAAGGGTAAGTAAATGTGGGGTTTTAATGGCGGGGAACAGCTGCAGAGGCAGACACAGCTATGCAGAACCTCTTGGCCACGTCTGCCGAGATGCCATCAACAGGGGCACCAAGAGGCTCTGCCGCTGGGTGTTCTTTATTTTTAAATGACACTAATTTCATTGCCAACATGGAGCTAAGTTTGTGTTAGGTGACCGTAACGGAATCTAGACACATATGGCCAGTTTAAATTCCAGGTTCATTTTCCTCTTGCACTCATCAATGGTGAGCTACTTTATACCATTACTATTTTCAAGTGCTTTGCTGTAAGTGCAGGCATCCTTAAAACTTTTACTGTGTGAATCATACAGTCGTGCAGTGAAATGGCAGCACCCTCCACACATTACTCATGTGAAGGTGCATCTAGAATGTGGCCGCTCCCAAAGATACATGCCTTTCCCCAATCCTTTCACTTCCCAGGCTGTGGCACTCCCTCCCAAGAGAGGCAAGGTTTGCAGGCAAAGGCTATTTTAATCAGGAAGGCCTTTGGCTCATAAGTGGGTCAGTTGAGTTGGGTGATGGTTTTATTTTTATTGTGTCATATTTATGTTGTATTGTGTTGCTTTAATCTGTTTTAATTGTACCGGTAAGTCATTTTTGGTAGAAAGGCAGAGTACAAATCAAATCATCTAATGCATTAGAGCACATTAACCTTGTCCCTGCATGTCCAAGATTCCAGGACCCTGTGTACGCACACGTTTCTCTCTCAGATGCCCACATTAATCCAATAGCAGTGAAGGGAGGGCTGGAAGGCATCTGTGGCAGGGCTAGAGGTCCCGTCGACATGATTTGCCCCCACATTCATGCATAAGTGCCCATTCAGACAATTATCTGACGGCCAAAAAAGACATCTTTGTGTGTGTGTGTGAGAGAGAGAGAGAGAGGGAATGAGAGAGAGACTAGTGTAGGTACAGGTTGCCTGCCCAGCTTGGACTGGGGACCTAGCATGGGGAGTTGGGACTTTTAAGGTTTGAATTGGGCATCCTGGGCTTACTCTAGCGTAAAAATAAAAGAAAACTGGCTGTCGGACTCACATTTGAAGAAAATTCTCTTTTGACCCAGGATGACATAGGAGTTTCCATCGTGCTGCTTCTTGCATATCACACAAGTACTGCAGGGGCAATCCAGGATGTGCCTCGCTTTTGGATGGCCATGAGTCGTCTAGGATAGTGGACAGTCTTCTGTTTTAAGGGCTGCCCAGTCTAAATTTGTTTCATTTCTACACTGCCCAGTAGCCAAAATGGCTCTCTGGGCAGTTTACAAAGTCATAGCAAACAACATATACAATAAAAACAATAGTATTAAATCAAACATACATAATATATCAATAAAATAGCAACAAGAGGCCACAGCAACCCCCGCCCCGCCCCAGAAAACCCATAGTAGCCACAACAATTAAAACTTTAATCCAGGGTTATAATAGCACTAAAATACAAATAAACACCATATGGATAAAAAGTTTTAAAGTTCTTTTAAAGGATTATTTTAACTATTAAAGTATTCGGCAAATGAAGAGGGTTTTGCCTGTCACCAAAAAGAGTGAACAGAGAGTGCCAGGCAAACCTCTTTGGGGAGCTGATTACAAATCCAGGGTACCACCACCAAGAAGGCCCTTCCCCTTGTAGCCACCCTCTTAATTTCCTTCAGAGAGGGCTCTCTGGAAGGGCCAAAGATGACAATCGCAGGGTCTAGGTAGACACATATGGGAAGAGGAGTTTAGGGCTTTAAATGTTAATGTTAACACTCTGAATGGGGCCCCAACTTCAAGTGGCAACCCATGGAGGTGGTAGAGGACTGGCCTTATGAGTTTTTGATGGCCAGTCCTTGCCAGCAGCCCTGCTGCCCTGTTCTGGACCTATTGTTTCCAGACCACTTCCAAGGCAGCCTCACACAGAGTGCATTACAATAATCCAGATGAGAAGTTACCAGAGCATGGACTACCAGTTGCTAGTCCTGTCTGTCCAAACAGGGTCCTAGTTTGTGAATCAGCTTAAGCTGATTGACGGTGGTCTGAGCCACCGAATCCACCTGAAATTCCAGTGACAATCCAGGCTCAAGGAGCACTCCCAAACTACAACCTGGCCCTTCTGGGGAGTGCACCCCTGCCCAGGACAAGTGCAATATCATCCATCTGGACAGAAGATCCACCCACCAGCATCTCCCCCTTCTTCCCTGGATTAAGTTTCAGCTTATTGGTCGAAAACCTTTTTATTTCCCCAACATTTTAACATTTAATTGGTTTCATCTTTGTTTTTATCATTAATAGTCAGATGCAGTGTGTTGTTTGTTGGTATGTTGTTGTTGTTTTGTTTGCTTGCTTGCTTGCTTTTGGAAGCTGTCCAGAGACTTTGGTATTGGATGGCATATAAAAATTTTAAAATAAAATAAAAGCACCCAAGACCTATCCTCAAGAAAACAGGAAGCCTAGAGGGGCAGATAGCATTCCTTTAGACCACTGCCACTCCCCTGCCAACCCTCAGGGCAGTGCTGGAGTTGCACGGAGTTCCAGGAGAGCACAGCTGTGAAAGAGTGTCTCCTCCCATTTCTCCCACCCAAGTCTCTGTAAAACAAACTAGGTCAGCCCCTGGCTGAGAAAGTTTTTGGTTTGGACTGACCTGGCATCGAACAGCAGCAGCACCAGGTTCAAGAGTGGGCTGGTACAGTCGCCAGGAAGCATCTGGTTGGGAGAGGAACCAGAAGAGGGGACAGCACTCAAATATCTCACCCCTCCTCTCTTTTGTTGGCTAGTTAATCCCCCAATGCCACACCCCCTACCTGTGATCACATTGCACCCCAAAGTTCCTGAGTGACATAATTAAAATAATAAAATAATGCTGCTGTGCCACAGTTGAGGCTGTGGCAGGATTATCAGCCTCTCAGACCGACAGACCAAGGACCCAAACCAGCACCAAATGGGCACCAAATGGACCCCACACAGGTGCTGCCCTTTGGCACTGTCCTTCAGCTGTTCCCTGAGCCTGCTCCTCTGGGCGCAGGCTGGCAAAAAGGACCCATCAGCAGACGTCCCACCCACAGGCCGCAGGGCACTCCCTCTTTGCCAGTCACTGCCACTTTCAGCGCTGGGTGCGTGGTGGTCAGCAGTGGTGTGGGAGGGCTGTAGATGCCCGTGTGGAGGTCTGGCATGGAGGTCTGGCATGGACTGGAAGGGCAAATGGGCCTTGAAGTCACCTGGTAACAGTCTTCCACACAGTGGAGACATTAGGTCTGTTAGGTTTGTATCTGCATTGGTATTTTTAATTTCGCAAATGCAATTCTTCTTATTTCATCTTTTTGTGTGATACATAAGTGGTCATCCTATTCCCACACCTGCAGCACCCGAGTTTCAGGAGAAAGTCGCCTGCTGTTGGAAGCAGTGAGAATGGGAAGAAGCTATGAGTGGGTTAGTGACAAAAATAGGAACTTACTTGGGTGAACTGGCTTTCTCTGTTTTGTTGCCATTTAACCCCAATGTCTCCCCAAAGGCCAGCATGGGCTTCTGTGCCTGGCATGCTAGCACAGCTGCTGGGTCCCCAGGATACACCAGCCCTGAAACCTGCCCCAGGTGTTCCGTGTCAAGCAGCTGGGCCTTTGAGCTTCCGTTCTGAGTTCCCACAAAGCCCAAAACTGACATTACGTCAGTTTCAGTGGGACGAAAAATGACTTAACTGCCCATGTGCCACACCTAAGAGCTGTCTTCATAATGGACTTTAAGGCAAAATAGTATTAATGTTTGGACATAAACATTCTGGCTGGGAATGCTGGGAGTTGTAGGACTATTTATGCATAAACCATGGGTATTATTTATATTAAAAATGATTGCTATGATCAATTTCTTTGGTGTTTCTTTGCTTTGATATCAACTGTCCTTCACTGGGCTCTTGAAGAGATGTCTTAGTTAGCTTTGCCATGCTTCACTTCTGCACCAAATAGCCTTTGAGTCTTGAGATAGGTAGACAGACAGACAGACAGCTAATTGATAGATCTCCACTAGGTATTTTTCCTTTTCCAGGAGAATGAATGGGCCTGGATTTGGGCCTGGATTTGGAGGGTGCTTTTAAAAGATCTCAATTTAAAATCTTCAATTTCATTTTTTACCTTTTTTATTTTTTTTGCATAAAGTATCCTAGCCATGTCATTGGCTTGTGGTCAAACAAGTTGTGATCTTCTTTATATCTAAATCCCACAAGTTCCAAAAGGGGTTGAAGTGGAGGGACAGGAAAGAAAGAATTAAATGCTTGAATACTGTCCTACTGTCATATCTGATAAAACATGGGGTACCACGTGTGCTTAATACACAGAGCAGGGAACAAAGTATCCAATGAAGTAGATGAAAAAATGCCAGTAACGGATATCTGGAATATGCATCTGTCACAATGGAAAAAGATTTGGCATTAGGCAACAGTTCATTCAGGGCTTGGTAATGCAGATGGCTGAAGCTTTGTTGAATGTCTGAGACTTTGGTAGATTCTCTTCAAAACTGAAATGAAAAATACAGACTTGATTCATCTGTTCTTTTGCCAGTACACTTACCAATGAGACATTATTTTCTTCCTTAATGATCCGCTTTCCTGCATTAATCTTAAATGCTCAGAAAATAAGAGATTGGGGAGGCAGCAAATATGTATTTTATTATCTTTTATTTATTTACTTATCAAATATTTATGCCGTCCATTACTTCCATCTCTTTTCTTAATACTATTGATAACCTCTTGGGGAAACTAACAACACTGAAACAATTAAAGGAATAAAACAGTGTTTACACACACACACACACTGACGTGACTTGCTTCAAAAACCAAAATGGAGCAACTGGTTTTAGAATGGTGCAACAAAGCTTGTTGCCATGTTGATCTTATTGGAGATCTTTGGGGTGGGGGTACTAGCAGGGTAATGCTCAGGGAGCCCTCTCAGGTGTAAAAACTGAGCTTAGTTGCTTTTATGCCCAGGTAGGTGGGTGTGCAATCATAGGTCTCTATGGACAGACTCCCAGTGGAATCAACTTGCAACATGGTATGTTTTAATGCTGGGATGACACTAGGAGAAACATACCAGTACCTTTCTAGGGACACTTTGTTGGAATCATAGACTAGTAGAGTTGGGTGCAACCCGCTGCTGTTGGTTATGTGAGTGAACAGAAGAAACAGACAAAGACCCTGCATGCTCCATTGCTTTTTTGATCGGAGGTCCCCAAAGCAGTACCTATGGTTGCCATGGTACCTGCTCGGATTACCAATGGCTCTCACAAAGCTGTCACCTCTCTGTGCTCTTTTTAAAAACATGCTTTAAGAAAAACCTTTCAAAACGTTAGAGCTGTCTTCTCACTCTCTTTCCTAGCCTTGCCCACCCCAGTTTGCAGAGATGTTAAAGGCAGCATTATGTGCATGCCCACAGGCCCTGCACACTTTGGTTAGGGTTCTGAGTCTCCAGATAAAAGGACTTGCATTAAAAAATAGGACAATGTAGGCACCAATTTATATTAATGTTGCATATTCTATGTGTTTGACAAATGCAGAAATAAACATTATAATTTAAATGGAAATATAGTGTATCTCACCATAGTATAGAAAGCTATGATCACGTGGCCCATGTGCCTTGCCTGGTCTGCTGTCCAGGTGCTGCCAAGTGACTTCAAGGCCGAGCTCTTCCTTCTGATGATTCTTTATTTTTGGACTGGGCAGCCCTTCAAATAGACTGTACTATAGAGGGCACCTTCAAAATAGTGGGTAGACCTCTAGCAGCTTTTCAGCTTTTCATTTGCCTTCTACCAGGCCATACTCTCTGCCTGTTGAACCCCATATGGCCTACTCAGATGAAGAATGCCTCTCAGTTGCTCAGGCTTTCCTGTCTCCAGCTACCCGATCCAGGATTGATTGCTGAGCAAAAGTTCTGATGCTAAGCGGCATGCCTACCTGGTGTGAGCACACCATGCCCAAGCTAGACTGTGAGCATCTGCCACCAACCAGCAAGAGAGGCGTGTTGAGAGTTAGTGGTTTACAATCAGGGTCAGCCTTTTGGCTTTTTTTTCAACAAAATGGCCGAGAGCCAGTGAAAGGGCAGACTGCAGGGTGGCCCAGGTAGAGAACCAAATGAGTTAGGCACTGCAAACTGGCAGCGTTTACATTCCATGGGTGAGTGGGTATCACTGGATATACTGTGAGCCATAGACATAGATGGAGAGAGCAAGAGATCTAGAGCCCATTAACTTTTCAGACCCTGCCCAGTTTTTCTGTGTGGCCCAGAAAGGTGCCTTTTGGTCCCTCCCCCACCCCCCCACTGCCCCACACACACACACACACACACAAATATATACCAGCCCAATCATCTAAAAGGAGGACATTCCTCTGTCTCTGTCTGTACCCTGGAACTGAGACTGAGACAGAGGCAGAGACAGAGAGACAAGAGAGCAGAATTTTCTCCTCTGTGTTACGGTATCAGAAATATTGCTGTAATCTTCAGGGCCCTCCTTCAGTTCCAGGGTGTAAACCACAAAAGCACAGTTCCATTTTTCTCCAAAGCAAAACTTTGTCATCCAATTCAATGAAATACCACATGGTATTAAACTGAAACTATTTCCTGGCCTTCTTTTACTAACCCAAACAAGGAGTGGTGGGGTGTGATTTCCAGTGTGCACAATGATGGCTCCCATTCATTGGATAAATTGAACGCTGTGGTTGGGACTCAAGGAACCCTCTGGAATCATTCATTCCACTTGGGGAGAATATTATGATAGGAAACATTAAAATATATGCCTGCACAGATATTTGTGGTAAATTGTTATATAAACTATTTTTGGATGCCAAAAATAGAGAAGCTAAATTGTTCTTAACAGCAGTGGCAGTTCTAGAAGGATCGTGTGGTAACTTTTGACAACATGATACCCTGGGAGCAAAAACTGAAAGAAATGGATGAAAATGTGTATCACCTCCAATGCCACATTGGCATAAATACTGGAAATTGAGCATTCCTGGTCACAAAGATGTTGAACTGGTTTTTGAGAAGATCCCTAGACTCTCCACTACACTTTTGGTAACAGCTTAATACAGCATCAGACAATTTTCCCCTTCTGAAAGATATAAGCTGATGGCCAGGTTCAGACTTATAAGGATGCTGATGATTGTCTTCATGTGCCCATGCAGCATAGTGGTTAAAGCATTAGACTGGGACTTGGAAAATCCAGGTTTTGGTCCCCGCTCAGCCATGGAGCTCACTGGGTGACTTAGGGCCAGTCACAGACTCTCAACTTGACCTACCACCCAGGGTTGTTGTGAAGATAACATGCAGGCCCCTTGGGATCCTTACAAAACAAGGATGTGCGATGATTGTTGTTTGCAGTTTTAGTTTTAAAATCCTAATAGAATTTCTATTGAAAAAAGAAAAGAAAAAAGCAGCTTAAAAATCTAATAATAAAAATACAGTACGGTAGAGTAGCAACACATTCCTATTCCTTAGATTATGCACATAACCTAATGTGTGAAGTGGGTATTCCATGCATAGCCCATGTGTGTGCACATGTTATTTGTGTAAATTCCATCGCATTATTGAATAAGGAAGAGTGGCATGGTTTGAAGTGTGATGTGTGTCGGCCTCCTCAAGGCACACTAGTGTCACACATTGTGCTATCGCACGCTGGCCATCCAGATGCTTTGCCTGTTGATCAGGAGCTGTTTCTTCCATGCAGCTGTATAGAAAGTTATGGAGAATGTGTGTGAAACATTCATTCATTCAATACATTTCTACACTGCCCTGTTAGCCCATAGGGCTCTCTGCGTGGTTCACAATTATATTAAATGAAACCATTTTTAAAAATAAAAAACAAATTAAAGCAGTAAAACATCATAACAACAACCAATACAATAATGAGTGTGGCAGTGACAATATATAAAATTACTGTAGCATTTGAGATCTTAATAACACAGTTAAACATCTATCCATTAAAAATATGTCTTGGATAAGAAGCTCTTAACCTGGCACTAAAAGGGCATGGATAGCAGAAGGCACATCCTGCTGGGGAACAGGTTCCAAAGTCAGGGTACAACTGTTTTAAGACTGTACTCTAAAACTGGCTGTTTTAGACTACAGCTCACATAATCCCACAGTTTTGGCATACAGTGGTACATCAGCTCACAAATTTAATCCATTCCATGACTCTGGTCACTACCTGAATTGCTCGCAAGCCAAGTCAAATTTCCCCATAAGGTTCAATGTAAATAAGGTTAATCCATTCTGTAAATATTTTTTTAATCACAAAAATTTGAAACAAAGTAACAAAGAACAACAAAGCATCGAAGTACAGTAGAGAACACTAACCTAGGTGCGGGGGGGGGAGGTTATTGTTTGGAGGGAGAGTCCAAACCATAATCGTGTAATAGTGATCATGCTTGGGGGCGGGGGGAGATGGCTGCAATCATGCTGTGGGGGAGAGATGGCTGTGATTGCAGGCATGCTCATGCAGGGAAGACGGGCACGATCACGGGCGTGCTCGAGGGGGCGAAATGGGCGTAATCGCAGTTGCGCTTGTGCAGGGAAGACAGGCATGATCACGGCCATCCCCCCCCCCCCCCCAGCATGATCATGATCATGCCCATCTTCCCTGCATGACTGCAACCACGATTGTGGCCATCTCCCCAGCCCCCGCAGCCCACAAGCAAGATCATGCAGGGAAGACGGGCATGATCGCGATCATCTCCCAATGCAGAGTTCGCGACCTGAATCAAATGTTTTCTGAAATTTCTGTTTGTGACCCCATTTGGTCATGAACGGAGGTGTTTGTGAGCTGAGGTACCACTGCATTAGGACATCTGGAAACTGAAGTCCAAATTATCTAGAGGGCCAACCGTTTCTCATTATGGTTATCAAGTACCTGTGCCAAGTCTCTGACTCCGGTTCTTGAATTTGGTATCTATTAATTCACCAAAACAAACCTTGGACATTGGCATTGGAGGCAGGAGGAAGAAACATCCATGCAAACATAACTGTTTCCAGGGGAAAAAGAAGATGCAACAAGAAAGGAAGCTGCATGAGAAGCAGAAAAAGGAGCAGACTTGAGCACACACCCTTAAAAATGTATTATACGGCATTTTTTAGAAAAATACACATCACCATTTAATTAATGAAAGCTCCCCCATGAATCTTCTTCTCTCATTCTGTTTTCCTGTAGATATTTATGTATGAGGCTGGCAGATTTTTATTTTTATTTTTATTTTTTTTTGCGCTATTACAGTCTATATATAATTGCCAGGCTGGCTGGCTTGTCAAATTTTGCTTCAAAAGTTCTACTGGTAAGGCAATCAAATGTTCACCGGACCACAGTTGACTTTTATTTCACGATAGCTGGCTGCTTTGTTATTGGCATGGATGTTGTCCAGCCTTTGCAACAAGAATTAAGGCTTCCATGCTTGGGAATAAGCCCCACTGAACCCTATGAGACCTATATCCATGTAGACCATGCTGCAAAACTGCCATCCTGTGCTTGCTTACCCCACAGTCACTTTGGAGTAGGCACAGATAGGAATGTGCTGTTGCTGTTGCTTCAGCACAACTCATGCCTTCAAACTAGCCTTTTTCCTAGCTGCTAAGCATCTCTGTGGGCAAGTCAGCTGTGACTGATTTGAAGTGTGCCCCAAGGGCTACATTGCATCACAGCCAATGGCACAGCCTCCTAAAATATATGAGCTGAGCATTTCTCACAAAGCAGTTCTATTGTGGTCTATGAAATGGGTAATCCACAGAACCCATGTCTTTGGCGTGGGTGGGGGCGTTAAATCTACTAGGGAATAGCCCTCAATGAGAATTTAATCCATTCCTCAAAGGGCTCCATGTCAAAAGCTGGAATGACAGAAAAGGGATGGGGGTGCCTACCATGAAAAGAAGGCCTGGAGAAGCATGTGGCAATGCTGTTTGGGGTCTTACTTCAGAAAGAAAGTGGCAGTTCAGCTTAATCTACAGATGGTCACAACCAATACTATGTGGAGAAAGACAGCTGCTATTAAGACCTAGGCCTCATAAAATTTAAGACATCTGCATTGTATCTATTAATGTGGCCCATCAGATTTTTTTAAAAAATGTGTAGATCCTAAATGTATTAATGTGTGTAGGTTTCTGGTTGCATTTAGCAAGTGAAGGCCAACAATATGGAACAGTTACCAGTGATTATGCCATTAATAAGAACGGCATTGTCTTAGTACTGATTGATTTTGACGTATTCTGTACTGACTTCTGTATACAGTCTTTGAACTGTACCTATCTGCTTTGCCAAAATCCTTTCAAGTAGGTCACTGGCCCCTCCCTGAACCTCATTTGGACTCCACTCCCCACCCAGTTTTTTCAGTGAGTCTGGTGGAGGCAACATGGAATTATTTTATCCTTGCAACAGCCCTGCAAACAAGATTATGTTGCAAAATATCCAGAGACGCTAGTAGTTGGATGGTATATGAAAGGAGGGAGGGAGGGAGGGCGACTGGTCCACAGTGACCCCGAGAGCTCTAGGGCTGAGTGGACTCGCTCTCTCCCTCACTGAAGAGCCAATGTACAGAGGAAGGCACAGATGACAATGCCACACATGGGCTGAGAGAATGTCTCAGAGGAGCCATGGGGGCACATGGGCTTGCCCTCCCCTCAGCTGCTGCTGCACACTGCACTGCCATTCCCAACTTAGGGCATCCCTGTGGACAGAAGCCTCCAAAACATCCTATCCATGAAAGGCCTGCCTAGCTCTTCTGAATTCCAGGCCGTGGCTTCCTGCATGGAGTCAACCCATCTCAGCTGGTCTTCCATTTTTTCCTGGTGCCTTCGACTTTCCCTGACATTACTGTCTTCTCCAGGGAAGTGTTTTTGACACGCCATGTTGGTAGGTAATGCTTCTGCACGCAAGAAGGAACCCTGCTTGGACCACAGCCTCTTGTATCATGGAAGACCACATTCATCATGACACATGGAGAGCCATTTCCCAGCATGGCCAAACACACAGGCACTGGAGTAGTGTTTCTGCTATGGGGTGCATGTCCACACCATGTGTCAGTGGCAGGGATGGAGCTCTACCCATGCAGCCCCCGTGCCATGGTCTTTCCGTGAAACGCTCATGAGAACAGCCTGATATTATACAGAATCAGGTGGCAGAAATCTGGATTGGATCACATCTGCCTAAGTGGAGATCATATTCTGAATCCTCCCCCCACGTTAGAAGCTCCAGGAACATTAGGAAAGGGCTCATACTGAAGTTTTCCTCCTATTATCTAATGGGATGTAACTCAATATGGAATCCGATATACATGTTGGTGTTGTTGTGTTTACCGTCAATACACGGATCTCTCCAAAGCAGAGAGGCATGAACAGTGCCACCCCATGCCACAAAACCCAAGTCTAACATTTTACATGCCACACCAGTTTGATCA